AAAAAAAAAAAAAAAACTAGTTTTCTTAGTTTTTACCTCTTGACACGATGCTTCGAAAGATAAGGTATAATAATAATAATACAAAAAAAAAATAGAAACACCAGAGAAAGAAGGTAGAAAATAAAGTTCGATCAATAGAGAAAACTCACTTGAAGCGACGCGGTGGAGAAGGTTCGCGTGTCACGGAACGTTTTACCGGGTGATTCGTAGCGTTTCCTACCTTTCAGGTCGCCAACGCCATTGCCATCCGAATCCATGAAACTCCGCGGATACACTTGATAGAAGACCGCGTTCTTCCACCAACCCTTGTTCATGATCCTAGCGGTGGCCAGGCTGGCCGCGAGCACCAGCACGACCGCGACGAGTTTCACGCCCTTCATGATTTTGAATGATGCGGCGCGCGGTCATCCGGCCTTCTTATATGCCAGCTTCGACGGTAAAAAAGAGCAGCGAATCGCGCCAGCGTTATCAACGGAGTATAGATAACTCGTAGTATAGAAAACTTATAGATAATGTCTCAACGTATCGTAGGAAAATTGCACGCGGCGATCGAACGACTCGGGGGATCTTGCGCAATTTAAATGACGCGCTCCGTCCTTCGCCGTTAACATTTCTCATTAACGATGTCACGCGACAGTGTCATGGAAAATTGAGGCGTTTCCCCGCCTGTGTTTTTCATCAGTCAATTTCGGAGGTGAATTTGCTACCAAATGACACAGTTCGTGACGAGACACATCAGTCACAGTGAGAACTGTTGGAAAAGTGAAGTGTCTCTTCGCTTGCTTAAATCTTTTCCCTCGATTTTTGAAATTGAATTTGGTACTAAATAGTGCTATAGTAGCTTATAGTGAAGCATATATTGATCACGATGTGAGCCGTTTATTCAACAAAATGTGGGACCATTCTTTAGTCCCTCGATAGTGGAGTTAAATTTCGTATCAAGCGATAGCGCACGATAAAACGACCAATCAGAGGGAATCATGTATTTTGCAAATTTATTGTTCGAAATAAGAATGAAGAGACTTAATATAGAGGATTATAAAATTATTCTTACTTTCTGTCAAACTTGGTGACGAACAATCGAATGAGCTTTAAACTTCGTACGATTTCGAGAATCTTGTCGCTTCGTCTTGCGTCAAAATTTTGCAACAGAAAAATTCGGAGCGAGATCCCGCGAAATCCACTGCGAATTGAAATTGCGCCGCGCGGAAATTTGATAAAAATTGCCGTCCTCATTGCCTCATCTACTGCTGAGAAATTTATTGCCGCGGATGGGAAAGGACGAGAAAGCGAGTTGCCATCGTTCTTCGCGCCGCGGATAATTCAAAGTTTTATCAGAGTTTGCTGCGGTACGTTCTTCAACGATGTTTTTTTGTTGTATTCGACGAACGTATTCGTGTTGCAAATTGAAGAAAACGTTTGAAATTCTTGAACTTCACGTGCAGCAACAGATTGCAAGCAATCACGCGGTAGGGAGGACTTGTTGTGCAAATTTTCCAGCGAGATGATTTTCCTACTTTATTCTAATTTTTACAATGCTACTTATACAATTGAAAAATTCTTGTGAAAGTATTTGACCATTTATTATTTTAAGTGATAATTTTAAATTATATTGTTTATGCTATATGAAACATTTAGATATAAAATCTAGATATTCATAGTCCAATGATAAAAATGATATCAGTATTTACACACTGAAAATTTCATATCAAAAGAAGAAGAAAGACAAAGAAAGATTTAAAAAAAAAAGACAAGTATATTCACTTCATCATGTTTACTTTTATTCTTCGTAATATATATATATCATATAGATTAATACATATGTTTTCAGAACAAAACTCTAACGACTGTCGTTTGTGAAAAAATTCGATAGTGTCTTGCAAATTATCAGAAACAGATTTTGCAAGAAATATACATTACAAACTGCTTACTATTACGAAAGTAAATGAAATGAAAAAAGTTTCCGATTGAATAACTATAAAAATTAATTATAGAAACATAAAATATATGATTTATTCAGTGTTAGAACCATCGAAATATGTGTTCCTGCAAATTTATGGAGATTTTGTAAAAACGTCAATTAACCATGATAAATAATTTTATATTTCAGTTATATTCTTCGTGTTCTAATTTTTATTTCTGCAAATGAAATCACCAAGTTCTTAATACGAGTCTTATAACTTCTTTGGAAATAATATTGATCAAAATTCGGCTTATCAGATGTAAAACAACGTTTTAATTTAGTAATTGTAATAATTGAAAGTAGATCGTCAATAATTAAAATCGTTCATTGCTGATAATTTTTGCTCGCAAAATTGAATGTCAGGCTGTGAATTTCATATTAAAAGAGAGAATGGAGATGTTGTTTACAATTTGGCTGGAGAGCAGAGGGATAACTGGTCATTTTATTACAC